CCTGCGGTGACAGGAGCAGGAAGTGCCGGTTGCCCTGTGCCGTCAGGAGGGAGAACAGACAGTGACCCCACCAGGACTCACCATGCCATAGGCGCAGCCCAGCTGTGGGCTCCCAGGGAGGGGTCCCTGAAGCAGCTGAACCTTGACCTGGGCCTCTGGAGGGCAAGGTGGCCGGGGAGACCACAGAAACAAGAATGGAGGAAGGCGGGAGAGGGAGCTCCGGAACCCCACCCCCACGGATGGGGGAGCGGCCCACGAGTTTTCTACTGTAAGGCAGTAAGTGACCACAAACTCAGAAGCTTAAGACAACGCTCGTCTGAAAGCTTCTGCAGGTCAGGAGCCCGGGGGACACGTGGCTGGGTGTTCTGCTCAGGGTCCCTGTGGCGGCATCCAGGCGCTGGCTGGGGCTGTGCGGCCTGACGCAGGGGCCCCTTCCAAGCTCACAAGGCTGTTGGCACAATTCCTCTCAGAGTGGCTGCATGCTCTGTGGTAATCTGCTTCTCTGTGGCCACGGAAGAGTCCCTGTGACCTTAGGAGGACCTCCAGTCCCTCTTCTAAAGGGCTTCCCTGATTAGGTCAGGCCCACCAAAACAATTTCCTTTTACGTTAACTAAATAAAGATCAACTGATTTTTAATTTTTTAAAAAATAAATTAGTGGCCTCCCCTAAATAAGAGGCAATTCTTCTTCTTCTTCTTTTTTTTTTAAGAATTTTAAAAATTTATTTGATACTGAAAGAGACAGCAAGAGAGGAAACACAATCAGCGGGAGTTGGAGAGGGAGAAGTAGGCTCCTTGCCAAACAGGGAGCCTGACATGGGGCCCGATCCCACGACCCTTAGACCATGACCTGAGCCGGAGGCAGATGCTTAACGACTGAGCCCCTAGGTGCCCCTAAAATTAAACTGATTAAGGACCTTAATTCCATCCAGAAAATCCTTTCACCTTTGCCATGTATCACATAATTAGAGACATGACACCCATCCCATTGCGAACTCTACTCACGCTCAAGATGAGGGGCTTACACAAGGTCGTGAGGCACTGGGGACTGTCCTAGTGTTCTGCCTGCCACACCGTCAGAGACACAGAGCAGGGCAGCACCTGGGCCAGGACTAGCCCATAGGAGGCAGGAAGGAGAAGAGCCGGTGGCGTGGCTGCCGGCACCTGAAGCCTCGGCGGGACAGACGTAGGATGTGTGGGTGCCTTTCTCTTCGGGGATTCTTCTCAGCCCCCGGGAGTCAGAGCAGCAGCCTTCCTTCTATGCTACATGCTGTGGGGATAAGGGTTCTGAGTACCACAGGCTCTGCTCTGGTCTACACGGGGTTTCTGGCACTGTCCACTGGACAGCGCCATGGGGAGGCATCTGCCCACCTGACCCCTCACTCAGTCACTTCGTCTGGTATCTCCTGGACTCTGCCCCTAGGCTCCAGGCCCCACAGACACTGGAGGGAAGGCCAGGCTTCCCCCCTAGGCTGGTGGGGGACAGACACACCACCCTTCTCTCTCACTGGAACTACAGGCGACAGGCAGCAGGCTCACAGCGGAGATGCCCAATACGGTCTCCCCTAATACACACTGGGTGGACTGACGCAGAGGCGACATGCCCAAGGAGCACATCTTTGGTCCAGGGCCCCAGCTGTGGGGTGCCGGGTCACCTACAAGACACGTACAGGAAGGGGCTGGTGAGTCCTCTCGGCTGCCGCTGGGGGGTCCGGACAGGCTCTGATGAAGGGTGTGCTAGCTGTCCTCTGAGCAGCGGAAGCTCCCTTGCGGCTGGGCAAGCGGCTGGGATGAGAGTTTTCCTGTCCGCAGCCGGTGGCAGCTGTGCCGGTGCGCTCGGACCCGGGGGTGCAGGACGGACCTGGTAGGCCGGCGCCTAGACCACGCCCTCCACCCCTCCCTCGTCTCCTGCGTGGGTCAGATGGGTCCCAGAGATGCCCGCTCTCTCACCCAGCACACTATGCGTGCACGGGACTGACGTCAGGGACCTTAATGGGGAGATTACGGGCACGCGCACAGCACAGAACAGCGCTCCACAGAAAGGAAGAACGCCTGCGACACGTGAGAATTTGCATGTCTCTCTGGGGCACCCCGCCGAGTGGTGAGAGCCGGTCTGCAGAGGCTGTGTGCTGCAAGGCCGCGCCGGGGAAGTGGGGAGATGGAGAACAGCTCGGTGGCCTGGACGAGCAGAGTGGGTCTACCAGGGGCGGCTGGAGGGGGCGCTCTGCGGCTGTGGGAGCGCCCCACCTCTTGGCTAGGGCGGCTCAGAGCTCTGCCCGCCACTGCATCAGGTCAGGTGGCTGTGATACTGTGTCACAGACGTGCAAAACAGAACCACGGCAGCGAGGGGATGACGCGTACGAGGCTCCTGTCTAGACTACTCCTGCAAACTTCTGTGAACCTGTAGTCATCCTAAGATGATAAATGAGAGACAAAAATTTAAAAAATGCTCCTGGGGGTGTCTGGGTGGCTCAGTTGGCTAAGCGACTGCCTTTGGCTCAGGTCATGATGCTGGAGTCCTGGGATCGAGTGCCACCTCAGGCTCCCTGCTCACCAGGGAGTCTGCCTCTCCCACTGACCTCTCTCCTGTCAGGCTTTCTCTCTCAAATAAATAAATAAAACCTTAAAATAAAGAAAAAAAGAAAAAAACGCTCCTCGGGCACACCTAAGCTTGGAGGGACTCCCTCTGCTTTCCCTGACCCTTGTTCCCGGCCTCAGCAGACATCACTTACTTTCTCTGAACAAATAGGGCCTTCTGCCACCCCATGGCCTTTGCACGGGCCCTAAGCTCTGAAAATGCTTCCCCAGTCCCCAGGCCCCTCAGACATCAGGTTTTCAGGCCAAATCATTTCCATGATCCCTCCAGCCCAGAAGCCCCTGCCGCGAACAACACTGCTACTGCCTCGGTTTCTTCAACTGCTGCGGTACCGGCTTTGGCAGGACCTGCACATACTCAGCGGCCGATGACCAACAGTCTGGGCTTTGGAGCTAGGTTTCCAGTTTGAAATCTCAGACCCGGGGCTCCCTGCTCCGGCGCAGGCTGCTACTCCCTCTCCCTCTGCCCCTCCCCCGGCTCATGCTCTGTGTTTCTGGAATAAATAGGAAATCTCAGAAAAGCAGGGTCTCCCCTCTGCCTTGGACCAACGCGTCAACTTCTCTCTGGGTTTCTTTGTCCGTGAAGTGGGTTGTGCTCTTGGAAATCTTCAGCGCCAGGTCAGAAGCCGGGCAGCGACCCCAGGGAGGCGCACAGGCGGGGCACTAGCCCCGCGCCGCGCAGTCCGGGCACACCCGAGACGGCTGGGAGCGCGCAGAAGCACCCAGCGCGGACGCCCGCCCGGTTGAGAACGGAGCAGACGGGTTCCGCCAACAGGCTCCGCGCTGCTGCGCCGGAGAAGCCGAAGAATAGGGTCGTGAGGGCCGGGCCTCCCGCGGCTGCGGCTCCCGGTAAGGCGCGCGGACGCTGCTGTCCCTACTTCATCACCTGCCGTCTCCAGCAGGCAAAGCTCCCCGAGCGCCACCTTCCCCGCAAGGCGCGCCCAGGCCGGGCCACCAGGCAGTCCCCGGAACGGGGGCGGAGTATCCCACACCCCCAGACGCTGGGCTGCGGGAGAGGCTACTCCACCAGAGCGCGAAGGACCGGGAGACCCGCCAGGAGAACGGCCTTCCCCGGGCGCTTCGGGAGCCGGGGGGCGGGCGCCCACACCTCCGTCCGGCCCGCGCACCCGCAAGGGGCTCCGCCGGACTTCAGCCAACCCGGCGTGCGGGGCTGCCACTCGGGGACTGGCACGGGGAGCCTGCGGGGCTGGGGTCCGATCGCCTGAAGACTCGGGGCGCACAGGTCGCGCTGCCGTTCGCGAGCGGAGGGCCAGGCGGGGCTGCTTCCACCCCCGTTAGCCCGCGCACACCTGCGGGCGGCTGCGCTGGGCGTTGACCTCCCTCCCGACCCGCGGCCACTGCAAGCAACATCCGCACCCCGAGGGCGAGCCGGCCCGAACCTCAGCTGAGCCCGCATTCGGCAGACCCGCCTCCGGACTCAGACTCCGCAACCGTCTGATCCATCCCACTCGCCGATGAGGGCCCCAGGGGAGGTCGGCGGGCACCGTGCCCAAGCACCAGAGCCGCGGGCGCCGTCTACACCCGCAGGCGGAAAGAGCTGCCGCGCCCGCTCTCACGTGCCGAGCGGGTCCCGGCGTCCGCCGCGCCTTCCTGCCCCCGCCTTTCCCCCGGCGCTGGCTCCGCCCCCTTCCTCCCCCCGCCCCCTCCCAGGCCTCAACTCCCCATTCCCAGCCTGCCCCGGGCGTCAACGCCCCCACCCCACGCGTCCGCCCCTGCGCCCCCGCAGCCCTCCTACCCCCCCAGTTCCCCATCTCCCCCCCGTCGCCCCCCGCGCCCCAGTTCCCCCATGTCCCCACCCGTCGCCACCCTGCGCCCCAGTTCCCCCGTGTCCCTGCCCGTCGCCCCCTGCGCCCGCGGCAGGGCGTGAGGGTCCTGGCCGTGCTGAGGGCCACGCCTGGCGGACGCCGGGGTGGGGGGTGCGGGGGTCAAGCTGAAAAGAGGCGACGCGACGCCGGAGCCTGGCCCACTGGTACCTGCTTCCAGGGCTGCGCTCAGCGGCTCCGTCAGGGGCATCGCGGCAGCACGTGGCGCCTCAGGAACGTGAAGGTTCTGGAAGGCTCTGGAAGGTTCTCTCGGGTCGTGTGGTGGGGACGGGGAGGGAACAGGGCGCCTTCCGCACGCCGCGGGGCCCGGAGGCGGGTTCCTAAGGGAAGCGGGGCCAGCCCGGGCGAAGACCGCCTGCCGTCGCCGCCCGCTCGGCAGCCCCGGCTTCGAACCCGCCCGCCCTCTCCGCGCCCGTCAGTCAACCGCGCGCGCACTCGCGCGCCCGCCCAGCGCCCGTCAGTCAGTCGCGCGCGCGCCCGCCCGGGCGGAAGGGGCGGGTCCCGGGGCGGATACGGGCGTCCCATTGGCTGGCGGCGGGGGTAGGGCTTGGCGGCGCCGCGAGGCTGTCCCCGCCCTCAGCCCGCGGGGGGCGGCGGCGGCGGCTGAGGCGGTGAGCGCGGGCCCGGGAGGCGGCTGGGAAGGCGCGGGTGCCGACGCCGTTGGGTCGCCGCGGCCTCCTCGTCCTCTGCGCCGGGCTCGGGGACGCAGCGCTGCGGAGGCCGGGCGCCCGGTGAGGCCTGCGGGCTGCGTCCCGCGGGTCGGCCGGCGGGGGCCGAGGTGGCCGCGGCGGGCCTGGGGGGGAGGGGCGAGTCCCGCGCGGAGGGCCCCCGGGGGCGCGAGCCGGCCCCCGCCGCGTGCGCCCCTTCCCGACCCCGGCCCAGCCCCCGCCGCGGCGGTGCCCGTGGGCGGCCGGCCCGGGAGGACGCCGCGCAGCTGTCCCGTCCCCCCGAGGGGCCCCGCCCCGGCCGGCGCCGTCCGCGGGCTGCTCGGCCGGGTTCGCGCGGCGGGGCGCGGGCGCGGGGCCGGGCTGTTGCGCGGCGGTTTGCGCGTCCGGGCGGCCCCGACGCCGCTGTGCCGCTTGTGTTGCAGGGCGCCCGGTCCGTGCCCTCGTCCCCGCGGGCCCCATGAGTCCGAGTCATGACGGACGCCCAGTATGTCCTGTGCCGATGGGAAGAGCGGCTGTGGCCGGCCCAGGTGACCCCCTCGGGCGGCGGGTCCGGGGCTCGCGGGAGGCTCGGGGGACCGGTGTCCGACCGGAGAGACGCGGGGTCGGCGGAGCCCGAGCGGGCGGCCGCGGCCTCACCGCCCGCCTGACGGGCGCAGGACGCCGGAAGGCCCGGTCGCGCACTTGGGAGAAGCGGGGGCCGCCTCGGGGAGGCCGGCGCGGCGGCGGGAGCCCGGGAGAGCCCCCGCGTCCGCCGCCGGCCCCGCAGGCCTGCGCACCTCTCCGCCGGCGGTCTCTGGTGGTAGGCGTCCTGGCTTCTCCGTAACGGCCGCGCGTCCTGTTTCCCGCTTCCCCCAGGTGCTGGCCAGAACGGAGACGTCCACCGGACGTAAGAGGAAAAAAGAATTTTTCCTGAGTGTTCAAATACTCTCCCTAGATGAAAAGTTAAGTGTTGTGGGTTTTGTTTCTTTTTAAGGTTTTATTTACCGAGGGAGAGAGTGCAAGTGTGGGGGGCGGGGCGGGGGCAGAGGAGAGGGAGAAGCAGGCTTCCCGCTGAGCCGGAGCCCGGTGTGAGGCTGGATGCCAGGGCCCGGGATCGCGACCTCAGCAGCCCCCAGGGCCCGGGATCATGACTTGAGCTGACGGCAGACGCCCAGCCCACCAAGCCGCCCAGGCGCCCCAAATGTGGGCTTTTTTAGTATTTTCTTCCGAATGGGATTTCTCCTGCTGCACCCGCCCAAAAGTGAAGCCCGTTCCTAGGGGTTTGTTACTTTTTCATTTGCTGTAACAGACTCATAGTAGCGGGGCTCATAACAATCTTAGGAGGAAAACTCAGGGAGTGTGTTTTTGTTTGTTTTTTTTAAATGTCCGTTTGGAAATTGAAGATCCCTGTGAGGTGCTCTGTGGGATCCGTACAGAAATCGAATCACACACCAGGGGGACCCTTGCTGGGGTTCACGTGCGGATGGTTCTTTCCCGCAGATGTGTGTCTTTTCCTTGGAAACGTGGGAGACGGCCTGTCCGTCTTGAAATGTTTGATGTTTCAGCCTGTCCGTCTAACGGGGGCGCATCCCGGCGCTGGGGAAGCACACAGGTCTTTTGCTCTTGATCATCTGGAGATGGAAGACCATGACATGACCCGGCATGATTAAAATGCACAGATCACGTAGGATCGCGGTATTGCTGTGTCTGAGGGTAGAATTCCCAGTTCAGAGAGAACAAAACCTCCCTCCTCAGGGCGGCCGCCTCAGCGTGCCTAGTCCCCAGCTCACACCTTCCCTGCGGCTGGCCGCCTGGGGAGGTAACCGGCTGGCCGCCTGGGGAGGTAACCGAATACTCCAGTTTAAAAGGAAAGTGCGTCTTTTGAAGCTAGGACACACCTGCTGGGCTGTAAACAGCTTTTAGTGATATTATCATCTGCTCTGAAAACCTAACAAAGGAGTTACTTGTGCAGTTGAAAGTAGAATTTGGCTCAGAAAAGTCACAATTTGAATTCATTTTCACTCCTAAGCCCAGCCAACCTTTTCTGTCTTAAAAGAAAAAAAATTCACCGGGGTCGTTGCTGCCTCTGACTTCAGGCATGTGAATTCCCGGTTGGCTGTGACTTTTGGTTTAAGTGGAAGGTTGAGAAGGAAGATAAGGAATCCAATTCTTGTGTCGTCTAGAGAAAAACGTGTTTGAAAATGTCTTCGTGGTCTTGGCCGGTGGCGGATAACTGGCGTTTCTGTCCCTCCAGGATTGAGGTGAGGAGCACAGATGTGGAAACCCTGAAGACGGCGCACATCGAACGGATAGCCTCCTCCCTGGGTAAGAGCGCATCTCTACCTCACAAGGAGACCCAGGGGGAGAAGGGAAAGACCCTGGTCCCAGGTAACTCTGAGCTGAAGGAAAGGAAGAAAAGGGGTCTCTGTTCTTAACCCTTCTAGAGTTTGCCCCAGAGCCGGTCCTGTTCTTGAGTCCCGGCGCAGCCAGCCACAAGCGCTGGGGTCCCCGGCGTCCAGAGTGCGTTTGCCTCCATGAGAGGATGGGGAGCTGCTTCCTTCCCCGCCACTGCCACCCCGCAGGAAGACTGTAGGACGGGTTTGGGAGCAGGGCTCGTGTGTTTAAATTCCACAGCTGAGCCGTGGGGGAAGGACTGTGTGACCAGCATCGATGTTGGTGCCCACGGCCCGCCGGGACTCTCCTCGCCCGCGCCCACCCCCTTTGCCTTTCCGCGGTGCCGGGCGCACCCGCGGGGGGCTCCACCGACTCACGCAGACAGGTTTTCTGCCGCCTCAACCCGGGGTGCACACCCCCTGTCCCGAGCGCTGGGAGTGTCCTGGAAAGACAGACCGGGAACCCTTCCAGCGGTGTGTATGAGACAGGGTCCGTTTTCCTCTGCATGCGGAAACACCGCTTTTGTTCCCAGCGGCATCCAGCGGGCGCACCCCAGGCGGCCTCAGCCTCTGCCTCCAAGACACTCCTCTTGGTTCGCTTGGGTTGTGTAAGGGCTGGGGACCTGGGAGGGTCTGGATGAGAAGCCCGGGGGGAGGCTGCGGAGGCCGTGTGCCCGCTGGGTTGTGCCCTTGCGCCCAGCATCTCCTCCCCATAAATCACGCGCACGTGTGGGGCGGGGGGGGAGTCGATGCATCCGTAGCGGCGAGGGCATCAGGCGGAAAGCTCCAGGCCCTGGTGCTCCTCTCTGGCCTGGAAATGCCCTCCCGCGGGAGTACGGACAGTCCACCAGCCCCCAATGGGCCCCTTCCATCGGCCGGCGCCCACCCGCTCTGCCGCTGGGAGCACGCTGCCAGGCCAGGTCTTTACCGAGCCGGCAAGGGTTTGAGCCCGACTGAAGTTGAAACCGCGGGGCTGGGAGGACTTGGGAGGCGTCGCAGTCCGTTGGCTGGCAGTGTTTTCCTGTGACCTGGGGGACTTTATCCTGGAACGCAATCAGGTTGGGGTCGGTCAGTTTGTTTTTGGAAAGCAGGACTGGCAGCCCGAACAGAGAACAATAGCTGTGGTTCTGTGGCCTTGTCCCACCCCGGGAGGACGGGGGGGCCAAGAAGGGTCTGTCCTCCTTTCAGGTGTGACAGCTCGCATCAGCCCTAGGCGGCCACGGTGTGGCGGCCGTGCCAGCGCCTGCCCGTCACCAGGCTCTGTGTGCTTCTCGCCCTGCAGCCTCCCAGGATGCGGTTCCCGCCGAGCCCCTGGAGGAGCTGGCCTACAGACGCTCGCTTCGAGTGGCTCTGGACGTTCTCAGCCAGAGAGCCGCATCGCCTGGAGAGAGCTCTTCGAGGGAAGGAAGAGCGGCTCTGTCCTCTGGAGGGAAGTCTGCGGACCTGGCCTCCTCACTCTGTGACCCCAGCTCTTCCGGTCTCCAGGAAGCCGTGCCGAGCAGTTCTGGACTTGAGAGGCGGGAACGTGTACACCCAAGGCTGGCGGCTTCACCCGCTTGTAGGAAGGACTCCAGGCGCCAAGTGGCCCACGAGGAGGAGCTCGGGAAAAGTGAGAGCCTGCGAGCCGTGGCGGCCCCCTTGGCCGGAGCTGCCTCTCGGGTCAGCAGTGGATGGAGAGCGCGCTGTAGAAGGCGGACAGCCCCGAGGCCAAGGGGGAGGAAGTTAGCACAGGAGCCTCGCCTGGGTGAGAGAGCACTTGCGCTCTCGGAGGGAGATGGTGGAAAAGAGAGCAGCCCGCCAGCCCCCGGCTCAGCTCCCAGCGTCAGGGAGGAGGGTCTGTGGGCCAAAGGGCGAGACCCGGGTTTGCCTCTGCACGGCCCTGATGGGCTCCCGACCCTGGGGCGCCCCACCAAGCGGCTGTGCCCAGATGGCAGCCAGACGCTGCCCGCCCTGCAGCTGGAGCCAGGGGCAGTGCCCAGGCAGGAGCCCAGGGGCTGCACGAGTCTGCGCAGCGCTGGTGAACTCGGCCGGCCGGCCCCCCGTGCTGCTGCGGAGCCGCCGAGAGATCTTCACATCCTGGTGGAGGAAGGTAAAGGTCTGCTGGCGGAGGGCGGAGCTGGCTTCTCTTGGGGCTGATGCGGGTCAGGCACTCGTGTGATTTTTTTTTTTTAAGATTTTACTTATTTATTTGACAGACACAGAGAGGGAGCATGAGCAGGGGAACTGGGAGAGGGAGAAGCAGGCTTCCCGCTGAGCAGGGAGCCCGATGCGGGGCTCGATCCCAAGACCCTGGGATCATGACCTGAGCCCAAGGCAGAGGCTTAACAACTGAGTCCCTCAGGCACCCCCACTCGCGTCATTTTTCACCTGATCTTAACGAGGTCGTGTCAAAATAGAGCCCAGGCAGAGGTTGCCCAGTTCCTGTCTGTGTCCCCCGGGATTGCACTCAGGACTAGTCTCAGATCCTTGGGTTTTTTGGTTGTGAATGGGCTGGGACGGGGGCACTGGAGGCTGCTCCCGGGGGCCTGGGCTTTGGCAGCCTTGAGGTCTGCTCCCTCTGATCCGGTAGGAATCGCAGAGGTGATTGGCTCACTGGTGAGCGGAGGTAGACGCAGACGAGTCTGAGTCTCCCGACGTGTTCACGACTCCTGCAAAGGCATACCCGAGTGTGGCGGCCGGCGGCGCGCAGGGGCTCCCTTCGTTTGAACGTGGTGCTGTCCCCTGCATCTTTGCGCGGCTGAGAACGTCCGTTTCTCTCGGCTTCCGTGCCTCCGGGCCCACTGGCTCTGCGCGCTCGGGTTTCTGCCTTGAATTTAAATGTGTGTTTACATTCATCCCGGCGCGTCCGGAGGCGGCAGGGAGACGAGCCGCAGCCTGTCCCTGCGCCCCCCCCCCCAGTTGCCCCGGCCCTGCCCTCGCTCTGCCTAGACTGCCACCCGTGCGCCTGCCCCTTATGGAGACGCGGCGGCCTCCCCCAGTCCTCTTCGACTCTGGTGTGTTTCTGTAAGCGCACCTGGGGCGGAGGGCGGCCACCTCGCTCCTGGCGCTGCGGGAGTCTGTGACGTGCGATCTTCCCTGTTTGCGCGGATGGTCGCGGGTCACGACATGTGTTTCTGGGGCTGGGTCTCTGAGACGGTGACGGTGAAGGTTGAATCTGACACCGTTGGCAGACCGTCAGTCTTCTGGAGAGTCCGTGGAGTTCAATCCCATTCATTCCGTCCTGGAGGAAGATGAGGACGACGAGGAGCCGCCCAGAATCCTCTTTTACCACGGTAAGTGCGGAGGAGCAGTGCGTCTGCTCGCGTGGCTGCCCTGGGCGGAGGCGGCCGGCCTTCCTGCCGCACCCACAGCCTCCGAGGTGCGGGGTTCTCCGCCCTCCGTCCCAAGGGGAAGGCTCAGAGGGAGGAGGGCCTCCCGGGAGGAGACCGGCCAGCCCTCCCTGCCGGCACGCTGCTCCCTGTACGTGTCGTGTCTCATGGGAGGGAAGCTCGGCCGAGCGGAGTGCTGGGTCCAGTTGCCACCGTTCGGGTGTGGCCTGGCGCTGCCTCCAGACCTTTGGGGGTGTCAGGTACATGTCTGTCCAGGGACGCAGAGTCTCCGGCTTGAGGCAGCGGGGCCCCAGGACCTCCTCCCACATGCACGCGCTGTCCGCACCAGAGCCCACATGCGCCGGTGCGCCCCCCGGCCCTCTTTGTGGAAGGACCGGCCATGAAGACCCAAGATCCCGAACCAGCGACCGACCACAACTTAGTGTCTCTCGTGGAGTGGACGACTTGGAATGAGTTTCGTTTTCAGACTCGCCCACTGCTTGTTTCGATACACTGTCGAGTGTTTCAGCCTCTCGTTGTGGGACGAGTACGGATCCGTGAGACGTCACAGAATAATGGTGGGAGCTGGGGGACCTCTCCTCCGAGGGAGGCCGGAGGGCGGGGCGTGCCCTTGTGCCTCGGCTCCCGTGGCCCACACTGTGTCCGCCTCTGGTTCTGTGCTGATGCGCCTGTGTTTCCTCACCGTCCCTGAGGGTAACTCGGCAGGCGGCGCACTGGCCTGGGGCCTTCGATTACTCTTGGTGGCCACCGCTTGTTGCTCCCCGAGCACCCCCACTGTCAGGAGCTAGACGCTTCCACGCCTGTGGGGCTCTGCCGGCTCAGCTCCCCGAGCGGAATTCACTCGGCCAGAGAAGGGACACGGCGGCGCCTTGTTCCACGGCGAGAGGCCAGGTCACCACAGCCCCGAGAAACCCCCTGCTTTCTGCTTCCATTTGATTTCGTCTTGTCCCCGTGCCCTGGCAGCCTGACGTCTGTCTGGGTGTTTCCCATGACCTGTATGTGTTCATGGGGCCGTGACGGTTCTCTTAAAAACCCAGCGTTTCTCACCGGATGGATGACCGCCCTTTGCATGTTAGCCGTGCGTGTCCGCCCGTCAGCAGACGCGGGGCGCTGCGGGAACGGCGTTCAGCTTGTCTCCGCCCGGAAAAGCAGCCTCTCGGGGCTGCTCTTGTTACCTCATCGTTCAGCATTGAGATTCCTGGTTCTGGAGTTTTGTGTTTGGCTGAAAGCCTTGTCAAGTTTGTTCGGGTGTAGTTGGCTGGTCACTGGGTGAGGATTTTGGTAGTTCGTTCTTTTCTCTCTTTGAAATAAGAGATAACTTTTGAAATAATTTTATCTCTGGCGAGCTTCCTAGGAATTTGCTTTTTTTTTTTTTTTCCCAAGACTTACTCTCTTTGACAGAGTGCAGGGGCGGGGGAGGGTTCAGAGGGAGAGGAAGGAGCAGGCTTCCCACTGAGCAGGGACACTCCCCCACACCCACCCCGGCGCAGGCTCCATCCCAGGACCCCGGGATCACGACCTGAGCCAAAGGCAGCTGCTTCACTGACTGAGCCCCCAGGTGCCCTGGAATTGGCTTCTTCTGTTGGGGTTTATGTGCTCCGCTCTTCTTTTAAAAACGGGCCTGGAATTACTTGCGACTGCAGAGTAGTGGCCAAGGCGGTGCAGGGTTGACCCTGGCTTGTCCCCGCTCAGCAGCGTGCGTGTCCCCCACACTCAGGCGCCAGCGTTGTTGTGAGACCGCCTTGCAACCGTGGGGACCTCTGAGCAGGCCTAGAGCATCCGGTCTGAGCCAGCGCGGACTGTGTTTTCCCGTTGTTGCATTTGGGGAGTGACACGGATCTGACTTACTGCTCGTGTCTTGTCCTCTCTAACCGCAGAGCCGCGCTCGTTTGAAGCGGGAATGCTGGTCTGGATGAAGCACCAGAAGTACCCCTTCTGGCCAGCGGTGGTAAGCTCCGGCGGCCGCGGCCCACTCAAGTCCCGGCGCGCCCGCGCTCTCGCCCCCTTCGTGTCAACTGGACCCCGGGGACTTCTTTCCTGGGAGAAGCTGACAGCCTCGTGATTCTAAGCAGGGTTTCTGCACACGGTCACCTGAGTACGGGGAGTTCGATCACTGTGGCACCGTTGAGCGCGAGGGTCCTAGAGCCCATCTGGACCGAGCAGCTCGGGAAACTCTGCCTAAAATGTGTCTGCAACGTGCTGGCGTCTAACATCGTGCTCCTGAGGCTTCATCCTACGGGAGCTTCTCCCGCGGGAGCTTGGAAGTTGCTCCGACTCCGGGGTGGGGATCAGTTGTGCGGCCGCAGTGGTGGGGCTCAGCGTGTTGACATTTTCCAGCTCGCTTTCTCCGTGCACCCGGCCAGTGCGGGCTGTCCAGACGCCTCCTAGGCCAAGGCAGCGCGCCAGCTTCCCACCCTTCCCGTGGTGTCCAACCCCCCCCCCCAGACGGCGTTCCGATGGCGCATGCTCTCGGGCTTTAATTTGTAGTGAGAGATGGTGACGTTGAACTTGGAGAGCTGTTTGCAGGAGCAGGAGACACTGCCGTTGCTGTGGGGCTGACCTCCGGTGGGCAGCATGGCCTCCTCGGATGGGGCCGACTGGCTGTAGTGACGCAGGGTTGGCGTCAGGGTTGGTGTCGCGCCTCCTTGGCTGGGCAGAAGGGCGGCTTCAACAGACGTGCAGATGAAGTGGGGGTCTGTGCAGCGTCTCCACACCGTTGTGGGGGGTCCTTGATCGGGGTCCCCCAGCCTCCCTTCAGCTTGCTTCATGGCAGATGCTCATGTCCCCCCTGCGGCCGGCACCCTTTTCCTGGACCTCTCCGCCTCAGCTTCACCTGCTCCCTGGGGACCTGCTGGGGAACAGATCTCCAAAGTCCCAGGTTCCTGGGGCCCGCTCTCTACAGCTAAGCCGGGGACACAGGGGCACCGGGCAGGAAGCTGGGCTGAGTCCGGCACTGCCGCCTTTGTGTCCTCGGTTGGTCCTACCTGCCTGAGCTCACTTTGCTCATCCCCAAAACGGGAGTGAGCCCGTTCTGCTGAGTGAGGACACAATCGCGTGGTCGAGTGCCGAGATGGCAGGCGGCACAGGGTTGGGTCTTTCTGTTACGAGAGGGAACGGAGCAGAGTGCAGCCTGGTCCTGCTCGTGTGTGAGCACTGAGTGTGCCTGCGGCCGATGGGGCGGTGTCTGAGCCTCCGACCCAGGGGCTTGGCCTTGGTGTCGTCCTGTGTCGTCGTCCCGTGCTAGCCATGTGCCAGTCTGTGCAGTGGAGAAAGGTCAGGAAGGTGGCTCAAAGCCCTGGCCTCTTCTGGGTTCCTGATGCTTTATTTTCTTGGGTTTCCCCACAGGTCAAGAGCGTCCGGCGAAGAGAGAAGAAAGCCAGTGTGCTCTTTATCGAGGGGCACATGGACCCGAAAGGGAGAGGGTAACCCAGCTGTCTGTGCTGTCGGGAAACGCTTGGCGGGTGAAGGCCTGCCAGCTTGGGGGTGCCGGGATGGTGGGGAGGGGGCCTGGGCCCAGGGCCGGGATGGTCTCACGTGCCCCCTGCGATCCAGCTCCCCCCGAAGAGGAATCCAGAGGCTGTGTTGAAAGGGACTGCCCAGATAGTCCAGTTTCTCAAGCTTTATTTGCCTCGTTAGACGCTCAGTGGCCCCCACCTGTTCCCCGCAAACTGTGCTCCAACCCGGTTGTCACGGGTGCCGTGAGCAGCAGCCCTGCCGCCACCGGTTTTGTTGGCTTAGCTGTCCGCCTGTTTGCTGCCAGGCTGTAATCCCTGCATGAAAATGCCCGTCTGCTCGGAGCGCCCTTTGCAAACACGTTTTGGACCCTCTGGGCCCCGGGTGCTGCCTCCACCTCCCACGGGTGGCCCCAGCCACGTCCCGTGGGGCCTGTCTCCGGGGCTTCCTCGGGCTGCTGGTTGCTGGCAGAGGCCCCCCACGGGTCCCACTAGTTCCATCGGAGGAAACTCGTCCTGACTCACGAGACGGAGTCCCCGTTAACCTTCGCCTCCCTCCTCGCAGTATCACGGTGTCTCTCAGGAGATTGAAGCACTTCGACTGCAAAGAGAAACAGGCTCTTCTGGTACGTGCACCGTGGGTTGTGCCTGGGAGAGGTGCGCCGCCGCGTGACTGGTCTGCTGGCCTGGCTCCGGGCATTCCTGGTGGGGACCGCGACCCGCCGGTGTCTTGACGTGGGCGATCGTTCAGAGGGTGTCCCTGCGCGGTGCCGTGGACACAGCGGGCCTGTGTGGGGGGTGGAGTGCTTGGTGGACACCCCACAGGGAGCTTCCTGGGCTTGCCGGTCGCCGAGCCCGTAAGCCACGAGGTGCTCGTCCGTGCCACACGCTGTCCATGCGGCCCTGAGGTGCTGTGTGTGACGCCGGCTTTCCCTCATGGACCCAGCCGAGGGGAGGGGTCCGTTAGCCTCCCGCCCCCTGCCATGCAGTTCTTGTCCCAGCCCAGTGAGTGGGTTCCTGGCTTCGTGTCACTGTCTTCTGTGCACGTGGACTGCCCGGGAGCTCAAGGGCGGAGGCCCTCCGGGAAGCCTTCTGCCCAGCGGCTATCTCCCTGAGCACAGCAGGCGCGGCCTGCAGCATGGGTAGGGGCTGGGAAGGTTGGCGCCCACACCGGGCCCCAGCCTTCTCTTCCACTGATGTGCATGCCCGTGACGTGGTCCTGCTTCCGTCTGTCTGTGGTAGGAGCGCTCAGTGCGGCTTGTGAGCCGCAGCCTGCGCTGGGTGCCCAGTGTGCCCGTTGGCGGGTTCTGGAAGAAGGCTGGCCGTGGCCTCCAGCGCTTCCATGCTCCGTGAAGCATAAGCCCACGAGCGTGGGGAGCTGGTCACCCAACCTTCTGGGCCAGGGCTGGCCCCAACTGCATGGCCACTCTCGGGGATCTGGATAGCTTTCTCAAAGCAGGGGGTGTCAGAGGGGACAGCAGGAACCTGGCTTTGAGGTCTGTGCGTCCCAAAGTCAGAACTGTGTGCTGTGACAAAGATGACGTGTGGCCTCACGTAGTCCAGATGCTGAGGTGGTGCCTGTTGCCTGTCGTCCTGTTTCCTGAGAAAAGCCAGGCCCCCTGGGAAGTGGGATGCACGGGGTCACTGGGGGGCTGTTGCTGTGGCAGGAGCACTGTCTCCTGGAGCCACGGGATTGTCCCAGGCTGTGTTGATGGACCGGCTCTGGTGTCACGGTCATGGTTTTGAGCTCTGCTTTCCCGAGCACAGAGCAGCACCACCTGCTGTCCCTATCCCACACGTGCCACAAAGGGTGGCCCCAGGAAGGGCCAGGAGGAGGTGACAGTCACATAGGAAGGGGGATCTCAAGTGGTGGGACGTCCTAGCTCGGGTCCTCACGGCGGGTGGGGAGGGGGCGTGGTCCTCGGTTTGCAGGTGAGGACCTTGAGGTCTAGGTGGGCACCCCCACAGGGCACAACTCAGCCAACACCATTCTAAGGCAGGGGTACAGGCACGACTCTTGGAAGAATCTGCTTTGTAGGACTGTCGAGTCTGGTTTGGGGATGTCAGCCGCACACGGGGTGCCGGGCTCCTTCCTCTGCTTCAGAGGCCCAGCTCTCCTGTTCGGAGCTCTCCGCTCCCCGGGACCCACTGTGTGAGCAGCCCTGGCCCCAGAGCTGGGCCTCCGCGCATTCCCCGTGTGTCCTCAGCAGCCCCGCACGGGGGCACCTGCCGGCGCTGCGGTCTGGACGCAGGGGTTGAGGTTGCCGACAGGATTGGAGGAGCCCGTGGCCCCTTGCTGACAGCTGCTGTCTCGCTCTTGGTGCAGAATGAGGCCAAGGAGGACTTCGACCAGGCCATCGGCTGGTGCGTCTCCCTGATCACGGACTACAGGGTCCGGCTCGGTATGTGGCCCTGCGTGCCCTCGGACAAAGGGACCGGGCTGGGGGCGGAGCGCAGGCCTGTTTCCCTTGGCCTCCAGGCCTGGGCCTGTGGCGGTCTTGTCCCCGACGGGGCAGGTGGGCTGGCACCCGGGCAAAGACGGAGGTACTGGGTGTGAATGGAGGCGGAGTTCGCTTTGAGTCAGGGCTGGCTTCCGTCTGCCCTGAGTCCGGCCGTCGGGAATCTTCCGACGGTGGTTTTTCTGGGCGCCCCGGGGGCGGGTGGCACCCTGACGGCAGTGTTGGTGTCCTGTCGGCCCTCTCGGGAAGGGGTCCAGATGGGGCTGACTTGAGGCCGGCACACTGACCCCGCGTCCCTCAGGCCGTTCCTGAGCGCTCCCTCTGATGCTGGGACGCACTGTCCTCTCCTGCCTCCCCGCAGGCTGCGGCTCCTTCGCCGGCTCCTTCCTGGAGTACTACGCTGCGGACATAAGTAAGTCCGCCGGCTCGATTGCGGTGTGAGGCGGCTGCCTTCTGTGTCCGAGGGTCGGAAGGGGAGGCGCCTGGGTGAGGCCGGGCCCTGTCACTAGCCTGACTGCCGCCTGCCCGCGCTGCCCAGCGGGCACCCGGCCTCTTTTCCAAAACGTGTGCGCGGCGGCACTCTGCAGCTGCCGCCCCTGCCGCCCGGGTTGTGGGCGAACGGATGGTCCCGCCGTCCGCCGCCGTCCCCTGCGGTCCCCGGTCACACGGCGTGGAGGCGGAGGGGTCCGTGCTTCCTTGGGGGGCTGCACTGGGGTGAGGCTGAGCTGGGGACCGACGTGGGGCCCCTCAGAGGAGGAGCCCTTAGGACCCTGGCGGTTGTGCCTGGGGGCAGGGGGCGGCTCTCCCAACAAAGCCCCCAGGCGGCGTGGCGAGGGGAAGAGGGAGCCTCTCCCACAGGCCGGCGGGTTCAGGGCCGTGTCGCTCGTCTGCAGGTTATCCTGTCCGCAAGTCCATCCAGCAGGACGTCTTGGGAACCAGGTTCCCGCAGCTGAGCAAGGGGGATCCCGAGGAGCCTGTGGCGGGGAGCCCCCAGGGGAGGAGGCAGCCCTATAGGAAGGTCCTCCCCGACCGGTCCCGGGCTGCCCGGGACCGGGCCAACCAGAAGCTGGTGGAGTACATCGTGAAAGCCAGGGGCGCCGAGGGCCACCTGCGGGCCATCCTGAAGAACCGGAAGCCGTCCCGGTGGCTGAAGACGTTCCTGACGTCGGGTCAGTACGTGACGTGCGTGGAGACGTACCTGGAGGACGAGCAGCAGCTGGACGTGGTGGTGAAGTACTTGCAGGGCCTGTACCAGGAGGCGGGCGGCCGGGCACCGGCGCGGGCCAGCGGCGACAGGATCCGCTTCATCCTGGACGTTCTTCTGCCTGAAGTGAGTGCGCGGCGGGGCTGTGGCGTGGGGCCGGTGGGGGGTCGGCGGCGGGGGCCGTGGGGGCCGGGATCGGCGCTGGGCTGGCGTCCTCCTGAAGTCGGCCTGGGAGGCTGCGGCCACGCCGAGCATGGTGTCCGCCCCGGCCGTTCCGTGGGCAGGAGGACAGGGCCCGGCTGTGTAGACGCCGTGGCCAGTGCTGGGGGACGAGCGGCGCACGCTGCGTCCCCGTGTGCACGCGGACACGTCTCCGGAGACGATGCTGCTGAGGAAAGGGAGCCGAGGTTCTCCCGCACGTGCCCGCCGGCGTTCGGCTGGGTAGCGGCACACCCGGCGCTCCCCTGGTGGTTTTGGGGCTTTTTTGTTTTCTTTTCTCCCCCTGGTGGTCTTGAAGTTCAGAGGGGGCTTTGCTGGGCACTGGGAGCGTGTGTGGGGAAAGTTACCCGTCACCTTCGTAACTCAAAGCTTTCGAATACGTGCGGGGGGAAGCCCGCTGTGGCCGGGAGCCTGTGTGCCACCCCAGTTACAAGAGCAGCCTCACTCCGCTTGTAGCTCCGGCCGCCGCCCCGTCCTCGTCTTTCTTATGTCTGAGTCCTCTGGTGTGCGCCTTAAAGGAAGGGACGGTTCTGCCCCAGGGACACTGGGTCCTGTGTGGGGATGGCTGAGGTTCTCACTGAGTCGGGGGCAAGATGCTGCCGCACCCCATGGTGCTTGGGACGCCCCGTCCGGGAGGGACCTGCCCTGTGTCAGCAGTGCCCAGAGCGGACGGGGTGCCGTGTTCTAGACCAGCATGGCTCAGTTTGATTTTTAAGATTTTATTCTTAAGTGACCTAATGCTCCACATGGGGCCAGAGCCCCCGACCCTGGGAGCGAGAGTCGCAGGCTCTCCCAACTGAGCCGCCACACGCCCCACACAGGCTCTTCAGAAACGCTTCGTGGAGGGCCTGGGGGCTCAGTCATGGGGCGTCTGTCTCCGGCTCAGGTCAGGATCTCAGGGTCCTGGGATCGAGCCCCGCGTCGGGCTCCCTGCTCGGTGGGAACCTGCTTCTCCCTCTGCCACTCCCACTGCTTGTGCTCCCTCGCTCGCGCTCTTTCTCTGTCAACTAAATAAAAATCTTTTTTAAAAAAAATCACATTTTTAGTAACCAGAGTTTTTCTATTTTTTCTGAGGACACAAACGAGGATTTTCAGCGTCAGACTTGCTGTGTGCAGGGGTCATCGCTGTTCTGTTTTTCCTGCTGTTTGAACAGTAAACTTCAAAACTGTCACAAATGGGCCTGTTGGTTTTGCCATGTTCTCTGCTGTTAGTGACATGAACTCTCGTGTCTTTAAGAGCACGTCGTTCATGCCACACGGAAGTGTCCCTGCACGCAGAGGCCTCCCAGACCCACGTGCGTCTGTGGAGGCCACTCAGACACTGCGCCGGGCCCCACGTGCGTCCCTCAGGCACCTCGGGCAGCACGGGCCCGCTGGCCACAGCTCAGTGCTCTCTGCCCTCTTGCAGGCCATCATCTGCGCCATCGCGGCAGTGGACGCTGTGGATTACAAGACGGCGGAGGAGAAGTACCTCAGAGGACCGTCCCTCAGCTACCGGTAGGCTGCTCGGGGCACCACTGCCAAACCTGTGGCAATGTGTCCGGAAGGGCTCGTGTTCCCTCGTGCCGGGCACCGGGGCTCGGGGACCCTCCGGCCGACACGCCGGTCCAGGTGCCCCGGCTGAACATGCGTGGAAGCCCTCGGCCAGGAGTTGCCACAGGGACCCAGGGAAGCCAGCGTTCAGGTGCGCTGTCCTTGGGCTCATCCCTGAGCTGCTCAGAGCAGGCGGAGCTGGACCCCAGCCCGGCCCTCGCCACGGCCCGCAGGCAGTCCTCTGGGGCTGCTCCCTGGGTGCGTGCCGGGCCTGCTGGGCCTAATCGCGTTTTGCAGGGGCTCCTGTTAGCATTCCGAGGTTTCTCCGCCCTGCCCAGGGCCATGGCCGTTTGAGAAAACACAGACCACACAGCCGCAGTCACCCCGGGCCGCTCTTAGCTGGTCGGAAGAATGCCGTGATCAAGATGTTTCTCTTCCGCTGGTGGGGTTAGCCGCCCTGGGATTTTTGGCCCCCAGACCCCCTAATCCCATCTCCAGGCTCGCTGCCAGGCTTCGCTGAGAGCAGGCTGAGGACTCAGCCGGAGTGACAGGCCAGGGCCTCTGTCCAGGGCCGACCGGGCCTACCACCACGGCTACCAGGCACCAAAGGCTGCCCCTGGGACGCCACGCTCTTTCCCAGGGAGGGCCCTGCTGCGTGCTGTGGGCCGCAGCGCCCGGTGGGTAGGGAGGCTTCCTGCAGGGCCGACCTGGAGGAACCTGTGTGTGCGGGAATGATGACCTGGACGAGTCAGGAACATGAGGACCCCGGGCTGCAGGGAGACTCGGTAGTCCGGCACAGGCCATCGACTCCCAGATACAGGACAGTGTTCTTGGGGGAGCAGGGTCGGAGCCCACACACGCCCCCCAGCGCAGTGCTCTCCTCCTCGTCTGAGGGACTGGCTGTAGTGTCTGTGAGGAGGACTGTCCATCTGCACGCCCTGCCACAGCCCTTGACCTGCTGTGGGCGTGCTGGGTGTGGCATGGAAGTGACGTTGGCCGTGCTGGTGATGGCAGAGACTCCCTTCTCCAGATTCCGGGGACGTGGCCTCCAACCGTGGGCGGTCGGCCACTCCCGCCCACAGCCGTCTGGCTCCTTCCCCCTCAGCTTGTGGTGATGCACGGGGGGTGCCCCCCAGGCCTCGTGTTCCCCCTGAGCCGCGCAGTCACGTGGACTTGCCCACTGTCAGAATCCGTGTGGTTTGTGGCTCTTGCCAGCCCTGTCCTGGGGGTGCCCCAAACACCTGTTAGTATCATTCTTACCAGGGAGTTGACGAGGACCATTGGATAGTTCATACTCCTTAAAAAGTTTTTTTTCTTTTTATGATTTTATTTTTTTGACAGAGACACAGAGAGGGAGCACAAACGGGGAGTGGGAAAAGGAGAAGCAGGCTTCCCGCTGAGCAGGGAGCCCAACACAGGGGTCGATCCCAGGACCCCCGGGATCATGACCTGAGCTGAAGGCCGATGCCTAACCACAGAGCCACCCAGGCGCCTCTAAAAAATTCTTTTTTTAATTGTTCAATGCATATGATGTAAAATGTTCCATCATAACCATTTCTAAGCGTGCAGCTCAGCGGCGTGAAGCACCTGCCATCATGCAAGCAGCCCCACCCTCTGTCTCCAGAACTTTCCATCGCCCCGGGCTTGAGACTCTGTCCCCTTGAAGCACGGACTCCTCTGTTTCATATTCTGAGACAAGGTAAATTATTAAAATGAGGTTCTCTCCTTTTATTTTCTGAAGGGAAAAAGAAATATTTGATAACCAGCTCCTAGAAGAAAGGAGTCAGCGGTGCTGACACCGGAGGGGCCGCCGCGGGTCCCATGGCCGGGTCGCGAGCGGGATCTGCAGGACCAGGGCCGGGCTGTGCTCACTTCTCATCTGTGGGTGTGCTTTTCCTGGCTTTCTTGGAAGGTAGAGTTTCTGAAAGGTGTTTGGAACAAAAATGTTTTATTTTACTGGATGCCAGTACTTCTGACTGTATTGTTCAACGTGAGGTGCACATCTGTTTTTTTTTTTTTTTTATGTTAAAAAGCACTGTATCCAATATTAAACAGGAGTTTTAAGAAAGAGCCTGATGTGAATGATTCCTTCAGAATGTGTGCGCGTTTCCGAGTTTCCCTCCTCTCGAGGCACGCCCCGGTTCCCTGTGCCGGAGAACACAGGTGGCGGGACTCGGCGGCCACTGCCCCCCGGTCCCGTGTGGGCACTGAGCACTGCCCCGTCCACGCAGATTTTCCCGTGTGGCCGCCTCTGGCCCAGCTCTCCCAGCCAGGCCCTGGCATCTGTGTCCCGAGGCCTGGGACCTCCCGAGCACGACAGTCGCGGTCCCTGTGTGTGTGGCTGGGGTCACGGTGCGGGGACGGGAGGGTCTGTGCCGACGGCTCCTGCAGAAGCAAGGCCTTTGTCTGGAGGCCAGGCTCACGTTCCTGCCCAGGCCCCGAAAAGGGGGCAGCTGGTGGGTCACCCCCGTGCCCGAGGATCCCCAGCCCAGGCCCTGGCCTGCAGAGACCTGCGTGGCCTGTCCTCACACAGTCACAGAAATTCTGTGGCCTGTCACTCAGATGAACTCTATTCGAAGCTGCTGGGAGACGACATAGCACATGGTGGGGGGTTTCATCGGGAGACCCCCGATGGCAGCATCCCAGCCGGTGATGGGTTGCTGTGTCTGAACGTGGCAGCCTCCCCCCTCCTCTCCGCCCCCCAGGGCCCCTCTCCCCACAGCAGCCACTTACAGCAGGGGCTCGGAGGGCGAGCCTGTTGGGGGGCACAGGAGTGCTTGGCCCAAGAAGGTGCCCTCTGAGCAGGCAGGACTCGCAGAGAACCCCAGGCCCGCTGCGCAGGGGGAGAGGCTGCTGCTCCAGAACCCTCCCAGGTGCGGCAGGGAAGTCTGGCCTGGGAGGGCGGGGCTGGGGGGCACGTGTCCTCCAGGGTCCCTGGGCCACCCTGCCCCAAGCTGGTGTGGGGAGAACCACAGAGGCTGGATGGTTCCTATCTACCACGGAGCCCGAAGCCAGGGGGCTTGGTCGCTCCCTCCGCTGGAGCAGCCCACCATTGTCTCCAAAGCGGGCCTCGCCCCTTTCTGGGAGAGCCTGGCGGCTCTGTCCCTGTTCTCTGTGCTGTGCTCCTGGACCATGGTGGTGGTGGCTGGTGGCTGTTGTGGGCCGTAGCTGCAGGTGCAGACTGCCCCTGGGGCCCCCCCTGCGTTAAATGCCTCCCGCAGCCCTGTTGGGGTGCTGGTCCTAAGGCCGCTGGGGCAGGGGTGGGGGGGCGCAGGCCTGGCGGCCGGTGGCCTAATGGGGGCCCCTGGAGAAGCAGGCACAGCTGGGACGGACCTCCCGCAGGCAGCCAACGCCTGGCCCCTGGCTCCTCCTCCGTCTCCCACTCAGGCCAAGTCATTCTCCAGCGGCCTTCCCGGGTGCTGCGGGAGCCGAGCGTCTTGCACTGTGTTGCTCAGTGCGGGGAGCCCACCTCACCACCATCCGGGTTGCGCTTGCCTCCTTCCCCTGCCTTCACCTCTGCCCCTTCCCTCTGCGCTGACTCGCTGGCCTCTGTGTGGCCCCCCTGCCCACCCCTTCTCTGAACTGCTTCCCATCCGGACCCCAAGGCCCTGCAGAAGCTCCTGCTAAAGTCGGCTTGCTTTTCTCATTGCGGCCGGCGGTCCCAGCCCGCACACCCGTGGTCACTCCCGCTTCCTGAGACGGGAATTGTCATTGCACATACCTTGGCCCTTCTTCAAGTCTATTGTTTTATCTAAAAACTGATTATTAAAAAGTCACTGGGGTGCGGTGGGGTGGGGGGGTGCCTGGCTGGCTCAGCTGGTGGAGTGTTTGACTCTTGATCTTGGGGTTGTAATTTAGATCCCAGTGTTGGGCACAGAATTACTTAAAATCTTTAGGGGCACCTTGGTGGCTCAGTCAGTGAAGCATCTACCTTCAGCTTTGGTCATGACGCCAGGGTCCTGGGATCGAGTCCCACGTCGGGGTGCTTGTGTGCCCTCACTTGCTCTCTGCCAAATAAAATCTTTAAAGAGTAAAGTCTTTAGGGGCGCCTGGGGGGCTCAGTGGGTTAAGCCTCTGCCTCTGGCTCAGGTCATGATCCCACGGTCCCACATCGGGTTCTCTGCTCAGTGCGGAGCCTGCTTCTCCCTCTCTCTCTGCCTGCCTCTCTCTCTGCCTACTTGGGATCTCTCTCTCTCTCTGTGTGTCAAATAAATAAATAAAATATTAAAAAATAATAAATAAAAAAATAAAAATAAAATAAAAAAACTATTCACTACAGGGTAAGAATCCGAAACCTCAGGGAGGCACAGTGGCACAAGAAATAGTCTGTCCCCTTGCATCCTTGTCCCTGATTCAGGGTCCCTACTGCCCATGTTCCCTGCGCCTGGCCCCTGGTGTGTGCTGTCCCTTTTCGGGTCTCTGCTCCCTTCCCCAGACCCTCCCCCGCTGCCTGTTCAGCCAGCTCACTCCCCAGCAGGCCTCCCGTGTCGTGTCGGGGCTCTCCCCCCAAGCCTGGCTCCGACCTCCCTGTCCACCTCACTGCCTGCATCAAGCAGCCGTGACCACGCCCACGGCCCCTAGCAGCTGGAAAAGGCTCTGCCTTGGTTCCTGTGGGATTGGCAATTCACTGAGCAGCTCGGCTGGGTGACTCTCAGGTCTCTTGAGGCAGCGGTCAGATGTCCCCAGGGCTGTGTCATCGGGAAGTTCAGCTGGGGCTGGGGGCTCGGTCTCCAGGGCTCCTACCTCATGGGACAAGGATGTTGTAGGAAAACAAAACTTGCAGAAAGCTTAGACTTCAGTAACATGCACTTTGGTTCATGAATTGCAGCAAATGGGTCTGGCGGTGTCAGCGGCTAACAATGGGGGGACTGGGTGTTGGGTACACAGGAACCCCACTCCGTGGGCAACTTTTCTGTGACTCAAAGGAGCCTAAAATGCAAAGTTTATGTAAGTTGGGAAGTCCAGCTCCATGGGCTAGCTGGGCTCAGGAAGGAGAGGGTCCGAGGTCCCTCACCTCCCACTTGGGACTTGGAGCTCCCGGGCAAGCGAGACCAGGTGGGCTGTGCAGGGGTTCTCCGGCCTGGAAAGCTCCTGCCAGGAGGCCTGCCTGCCGCTGGCCTGCGCTTGCCTGTGGGAGCCTCAGTTTCCCCCCAGTGTAAATTCCAGCAGGATTGCAAGAATTTCGCCGGTTTGGGTGTTCGCAACGAGAAGCGCCTTAAGGAGTATTGGGAATTGGAGTGGAGTCCACGTTTGGGCTGGAATCAAGGTCTTGAGGGCGGAGACAGGGATTTGGGGGCCCTGTTCCGTCCCCCCGTGGGTCGGGGCCAGCAGCCCTGCACCTCATCTGCAGAATGGCTTACATTCTGGGGAAGGAAAGGCAGGAGCCGTGGCGCCAAAACAGCTGCCGAAACCCGGGATCGAACCAGGGACCTTTAGATCTTCAGTCTAACGCTCTCCCAACTGAGCTATTTCGGCTGAGCGGCAGGGGCCGCCGGGGCTCGGAGTCCGGCTCGCGCCGCGCCGCCCTCGCGCCGCCGCCTCCCGCGCGCGGCCTCCCGGGAGCGCGCGCCACATAGACGCCCAGGGGGCGGCGGGCGGCAACGCCGTCTCTGTGGCGCAATCGGTTAGCGCGTTCGGCTGTTAACCGAAAGGTTGGTGGTTCGAGCCCACCCAGGGACGCGGTTTTCGCCTTTTGTTCCCGACCGGAGGAGAAGGCGAGCGACCGGCCCGCTTTTGCCGCGACGCCCCCCGCGCCCCCGCCGGGCCCGCGCGTCCCTGGTGGGCTTCCGGGGCGCGCGGCTGGGGGCCGTCCGCGGAGGCGGAACGTCCTGGCGCCGGGGCCCGGCTTCCGCGCAGCAGCCGAGCCGCTTTGGCAGGCGGCCCCAGGGACCCGGAGTGCCGGCGCGGACGGACCGCAGAGGTTGTTTGAAGGCCGCGGCGGACATGGCGGCGCTGGCGGGTGAGCGGGTCGGGGCCGCGGGGCTGCGGCGGCCGCGCGCTCGGGAGCTGGGGGACCTGCGGCCTGCACCGGCTCAGGGGCCGGGCTTGCGCGGCCGGCGGTGGTCCGCGTCCCGGGGGCGCGATCCCGCGGGCCCCGAGGGGACGGCGCTGCCCGCTCCGCGAGCGCATCCCCGGCCCTGAGTCTGCGCCCGAGGCCGCTGGGGCCCCGGAACGTCTCTGGGCGGCTCGGTCGTCAGGCCCTGCCGGAGGACCCCGCGGACCCCGGGGAGGCCCCGGCGTCATGGGAGAGAGCCAGGCGCCCCACAACACAGATGGGGGTACAACAGGTGCCCTGATCGACCCCGGGGGACGGTAGGGCCTGAAACCCGCCCGTTAGGAAGGGCCGGCGTGCCTCCGCCTGGGGCAGGGAGCTCCAGGCGGAGCGACCGGCTAGTGCAAAGGCCCTTAGGCAGGAGCGACACTGACGTGCGGAGGAAAGGGAGGCTGGCCCGGGTGTGAGGTGGCCTTTTTTCCCGGGCAGGGGAGGGTCACTGTGTGGGTCCCGTTCGGAAGGACCCCTCTTTACCGAGCGTGTGCTACGTGGAATTTAGATAGCCCGAGGGTAAGGGGAAGGGCGTGCCAGGCGTGGGGCTCCTGTACAACCTCCTGGAGGCCGCAGGTGTTTGCTGCTGCCTCCCCCTCAACCGCGTGGTTCTCTCCGCAGCTCCCCACCTGCTCCGCCCGATCCTGGCTCTGCGGTGAGTTTCTGCGTCTCCCAAGCCACAAGGCCCTGCCGTGGGGGTGGGGCTGGGAGGGCCCTCCAGCAGCATCAGGCGGCCAGGGAGGCTGGGTGGTGCCCGCCTCCTGAAGGTCACGTGGTGAGGCAGGCTGCAACAGGACGGCAGTCTCCTCCTGCAGGTGGTGGTCAGGCCCCTCCGTGGGGACAGTCCAGGTGGTGGCAAAGCTTGCATTCACACCCACGTCCACTCACGGTGCACCTGTTACCTGTCGCAGGAAGGCCTTTGGTGCTTCTGCTCAGGTGGCAGCCTCCAGTAGACCTCCTCAGGTCAGGGAGGACAGGCAGTCCCGTGCCCTCTCTCTTGTGGACAGAGCGCAGAAATGGAGGAATCTCCTGCGCCCTGGGGCAGGGACGTGGCAGATCTCGGGAGAGGCTCTCCTGATGGGGGGGAGGTGGGAGGCTTCAAGGAGCATGTGGCTTTGGGCTGAATTTGCCTTTTTTCCATAAGACTGTTTTTCTAGGAATCACTCGTGTTCACTGTAAAATAAAGGGGAAAATGAGAGACCTAGGAAATGAAGAGCAGACCCCTTTTGGACAGGCTCAGCAGACTTTCCATGAAGGGCCAGATGGGCTCTGTGCAGACTGCTGCGCTCTGCCTTTGTGAAAACAGATCCGACAGGCAGAGATGGGTGGATGTGGTTGCGTGTCAATAAAACTGTATTGACAAAAACAGGCGGAGGCCAGATTTGGCCCCCTGGGAGAAGTTTCCCCATCCCTGCTCCAGCACAGCCTCTGTCACAGCGCCTTGGGGCACCCCAGGCTCCTCTTCATGTGCACCCCCTTTCCCTGCAGCTCCGGTGTGGGCGTGGCTACTCAGGTGCGTGGTGTCCATTCGAGTGTGGCAGCTGACAGCCCCAGCAGGTAAGGCCAGGCTTCCTGGGACCCTGCACACACTAAAGCCCTCGCAGCAGCCCTGGGTGACACCAGGGCCGTCCGTCCACCATCAGGGTGAGGCAGCATGGATCCCTGCCCTCGGAGCCCTGCCCAGCCCCCTCCTGCACATCCAAGACAATGGCTGTGCGACCCCAGACCAGCAGGGCCCTTGTTAGTGCGTCAGTGGAGCTCAGGGACGCCAAGTTCCCCTGGGGACACAGGCCCGCTGGGGCCACAGCCAGCAGCCATCATTCATGCTGTCATTCAGCACGTGCGTCCTGCCCTGGGCTGGAGTGCCCGACCCTGAGCGCCTGACCCTGGCGGCCCAGCTCCTGCTGGAGCTGCCCCAGACCAGGCTGTGGTGCTGGCTTGCCGCTGCCCTCCGAGAGGCTGCTCCAGGCCCGACCAAGGTGTGGGGGTGTTGGGGTGCCTGCCTGGCTAATGTCCACCCCCCCGCCATGTGTTCCTATCCAGCACCCAGCCCGCTGCGTCCACAGCTGGAGCCGTGCTCCCCAAATCCACCGCCCTTCCCAGCAGCCGGGGCGAGTATGTGGTGGCCAAGCTGGATGACCTCATCAACTGGGCCCGCCGGGTGAGCCCCGACCCCCCGTGCCCCCCGGCCTCCCGCCGCCTGCTCCCACATGCTCCCACGTGCACACTGCGCCTGTTCTCTGTGGGCCCTGCTGTCCCCTTTGTGCCCCTGCCCCGATCTGGTCTCTCGCTCCGCCCCAGGGAACGTGACAGCCTCCCTTCTGCAGATTTCCTGTTTCTGTTTCTTCTTTCTTCTCTTTCAACGTAGACGTGATTTTAACTGGGAAACCAGAGTGTGTCTAGAACAGGGGTTCCTTCCTGGGAAAAACCTGAAAACAGCCCGCCCCCAGGTCCCCAGAACTCAGCCTGGACAGTCTGCGTGTTGTGTGCACATCTTTGTCTCCCCTGACTCACAGGAGCACCCCTCGCTCTGCTGGGGGGGCCCGGGGTCCGTTCCTGTGTGCGTGTGTCTCTGCGTCCTGCCAGGGTCTGTGGCTCCAGCACGGACGTGGCCGCTGCAGTGTCGTCTTAACTATGCACACCTGAGTGCTGTCCGGGTTGCCTTCCTGTGTAGCCCACACCTGGGCACCACGTTAACAGTGAGGCGGGCGGGACCCTGGGCAGGTCCCCGACGAGGCAGGGACGGCAGGGAAGGCTCAAGCAGAGAAGTACAGCAGGAGGGAGGCGGGCACCAAATGGATGGAGGAAGTGGTCAGAGGGCAGCCAAGGGCAGCCAGGAGGCCTTCCTGGAGGAATAGGCATGTGGAGTCCCTGAACCCTAGGAAGTGTTACAAATGAGTCAGGTGCAGGGGCTGAGCCCCAGGGTCTCGAATGCGACGTGCGGCTTTCCTGGCACTCAGAGCCACTCGAGCTGTGCTGAAAGCACGGATCGATGACATGCTGGGCCGCTGCGTGAACCACCTGGTTAGCACTCGTTTCTCCGGGGCTCGAGTTCTTTGGGAACGTGGCCGCCGGAGGGCGCTGGCCCACAGATGTAGCTTGTTTTCCCTTCCGGTTACCACCCTGGGCCGGTGACCCTTCGGGGCCTGGCCGTGCCGTGGTGGCCGTGGGGAGGCCTGGTTGCCGGGCCCTGAGCTGGGGCGGGCGGGCGGCACCGTCCCCTGTCTGAGCACCCTGCCCCCGCAGAGCTCCCTGTGGCCCATGACCTTCGGCCTGGCCTGCTGCGCGGTGGAAATGATGCACATGGCCGCGCCGCGCTACGACATGGACCGCTTCGGCGTGGTCTTCCGCGCCAGCCCGCGCCAGTCCGACGTGATGATCGTGGCTGGCACGCTCACCAACAAGATGGCCCCCGCACTCCGCAAGGTAGGCCCGGCCCCGAGGCCCGCCGCCTGCGCCCCGGCCTTGAGCTGCGGCCAGACCCCGCCGTCTCTTCCAGGTGTACGACCAGATGCCCGAGCCTCGCTACGTCGTGTCCATGGGGAGGTGAGTGCCCGCCTCGCCACGGCACCCCTGCCTGTCTCCGCTCCCTCTGCCGCGGTCACCTCGGGACACCTCGCGGCCCCTCCCCAGGGCACCCCTCCTGCGCTGCTCGGGGTCGCCCCGTTCTGGCCCTGGCCCTGCGGCACGGACGTAAATGGCGCCGCTCCGTGGGCCGTCTGCGCGCCCCTCACCCCGCTGCCTGCCACCCTCCCCAGTCCCTTCTCCGCACTGCCAGCAGCTCCTTCCTCACCTCACTGTTCTGGGAGGTAGAGCTGGGGCCGTGCAGTGCCCCTGTCCAAGTGCACAGTTCCGTGATGGGCCACGGATTCATGGGGCTGTCAGCTGTAGCCCCTAGTTCCAGAACATTCCATCATCCTCCAAGGAAACGTTCCCGTCAGTCATCCCCCCGACCCCTCTCCCGGACCCCAGCCCCCGCGAGCCCCCTCCCCATCCATGGAGGGGCCTCGTCTGGGCATGTCACACGTGTGGACTCACACCCCATGGGGCCCTCTGTGTCTGGTTCCCTCCCTGAGGCCGTGGGCTCAGGTCATCCATTTGCTTCAGTCTCCCTGGTCCCACAGAAGGCCTCGGGTGGCCTCTCTTTAGGGACTGCGTGTCCCCATCCTGCCCATTCCTGGTTCCTGTTTGCACCTGGAGGCAGATGGGGGGGGCAGGGCCAGCGGCCAGCATGCCACTCACCGTGCCACCCCCTCCAGCTGTGCCAACGGAGGAGGTTATTATCACTACTCGTACTCCGTGGTGAGGGGCTGTGACCGCATCGTGCCCGTGGACATCTACGTCCCAGGTGAGCCGGCCCCGTCCATGTCACAGGGTCCCCACACCCCTGCAGAGGCTGCAGGCTCCCGCCCTCCCCAGGCAAACAGGTGTAGGCCCAAGCAGAAGAGTGAAGCCCCAGCCGCCTCCTCCCTTGTCCCCTGAAGGTCTCCCCGACTGCGGAGACTTGGGTCTTACCCAGCCCGGGGCCCAGGCCAGTGCGGAAGGAAGCCTGAGCCTGAGCTGGGTGAGGGCGGCTCCTCGGCCGTCTGCAGACGCACGTCGCGTGGCTCCACGTGACAGACACAAGCCCAGGGAGACACAGTTAGAAAACAGAATGGTTCCAGAGGTCAGGGCCGGTGTGCACGGGGTCTCGCTCTCATGAAGGAGGGCAGGGCTCCCTTGGAGCCCAGGTCGCCGGGCTGGCCGGATGGCACAGATGGAAACGCCTAATGCAGTCATGTGTGTCGGGAAAGCGAGGAGTGTCTGTGATCCGCGTCCCTGGAAAAGGATCGTGTGTCCGGTGAAGCCTGTGTCTGGCCGTGCTTGGGCCCGGGGCCTCTGCCCCTCCCTGTGTCGGAGGTCGGGGTTCAGCCAGTGGTGCTCAGCCTGCAGATGGAGACCCTGTGTTCCTGGGTTCTCAGTGCCCCCCACGGGAAGCCCAACCTGAGCCCCGGCGAGGCGAGTAGAGGACACTCGAGGCCCCGACTCCAGGCTGCCCGGGAAGGTTTAGGTCACGATGCTCTGGTGCCCTTCAGAGGGACGGTGAATGGTGGTGATTAGGGTTCTGGAGACATTTGCTGAGAGCCTTGGCCACGCCAGACCCTAGGGCGTCCCCCGCTGTGGGGGGCCGGGGCCCGTCTGGGGGGGTGGGCACGGGGGAATCCACCCTGCAGATAGAGGCCAGGCCCTGCCCAGCTGCCCCGTTGGCTGTGTGACCAAGGGCAGGTCTCCCCTCTGAGCCCGGCCCCCTCCACCAGGCGGGCTCTGGGGACAACACTGCCGGATTCTGGGCCGAGGACCACCCGTGCCTGTGGTTGTCCTTCCGGGCCGCTCCCCCCTGGGGGGTGACCTGTCCCTCTGCTTCTGGTGGGGTCCTGGGGATGAGGGCCGCAGGGCTTCCCCTCCTGTGGGCCGTGTGGGCCTCCCTGCCCGGCCTGGCTGTCCTGCCCCCTAGACTCCCCCATCCCTCCCTGCTTTCCAAGGGCGCACTACCACCAGGGGCTAGCGTGGCCCAGGGTCAGTGGACTACTTGTGCTTGTCCTCCCAGAGGCCCCAGGCCAGGTCATCGGGCTAGCAGGCAGGGCAGCTGGGCCCAGAACGGGCAGCCCAGTCGTCCTCACTGCACATGGCTTGACTGCCAGGGTCAGCAACTCGAACCCCCAACCTGGACAGCACAGGCTAGAGGCGGTGCTGGAGACGGGGCCCTGGCCCCCTCAGACCCCTCCCCGGACATGGCTCTGCTGCCCCCTTCTGGTCCCAGGGCCCATCTGGCCTCCAGCTGCTGTGCCCAGCCTCCCCTTTGACCATCCCCACGGAGGCGCACTTTGCCAAGCAGCAGGGGTCCGTCAGTGGCGCCGGCGGGGGGGATGGGCACCGTTCCCGGCATCCCGGCACCGGTTGGGGCGGGGTGGGGGGCGGAGAGGGCAGAGGGTGGGAGCCGGCCACCCTCAGTGGGCGGGGAGACTGAGGCACGGCCCCTGCAGGCTGCCCACCCACGGCCGAGGCGCTGCTGTATGGCATCCTGCAGCTGCAGAGGAAGATCAAGCGGGAGAAGAAGCTGAGGATTTGGTACCGCAGGTAGCGCGGCCCCTGCTCCGGCCCTGCTCCGGCCCCCGCGGGCTCCGCCCCCCTCTGGCCAATAAACAGACAGAGCTCCGTGCGTCCCTCTCCCTGTGTGACAGGCGGCCGCGGGCGTGCTGGGAGTGGGAGAGGGGGGCGCTGTGCCAGGCAGGCCTAGTCCTGTGCACGGAGCCACTGAGGCCCTGCAGGAGGGCGGTGGACAGGCCGAGAGCCTGCGGACGCAAGAGCGCGTAGCCCTGGGGGCAGCGGCGAGCGCGCTTGGCGTCCGTGGAGGGGTGAGTCGAGGGTCCTGGGATTAAAGGTTTCGCTTTGTTGAAGGCCCTCTGCCTGACTTGACGGGGTGGGACCAGGGACTCCGTGGCTGCGTGGCCCCTACGCGCGACACCTGCTCTCTGCTTCAGGGGCCGGTTGGGGGAGGGGCTGACGAGTGTCTGTCTGCTATGACCCAGTGGTCCTGTAGGTCTGTCGCGTGCACAGGGAAGCTCACGTGCTGGGGGCAGAGTGTCCCCCCCCCCATCTCCCCGGAGATCGGTTCAACAGATGATGGTGTTCTGTATGTGTACTGTTTGGAGGGGCAGGAGAAGTCACCACAAGCACGTGTTTGCGCCGTCCTGCCGGTCCGGCAAGCCCAGGGCTGGCGTTTATTGGGTCCTTGAGGACACGTACAGGGAAGCTCAGGCAAGCTTGTCCCACTGCTGGTGTGTCTGGACTCGAACCCAGGACCTAGAGCCCAGAGCCTGCACTTCTGGCTGTGAAGGCACTGAGTGGGGGCACCGGGACAGGACTGAAACCCCCCGAAGGCTGAGCCCGAGGCCCGGCAGGCTCAGTGCTTGCGGACCAGGGGTGCGATCATCTGCGGGAAGGCATAGTAGCGGCACTCGGCCGGCGGGGCCAGCTCCACCAGCTCCACACCGATGTTCTCCCGCCTGAAGCCCGCCTCCAGCAAGGCGGGCACCTGCGTCTCCTGGTGGGGGTGGGGGGTGTCACTCGCGGGGCCATGGGGCCCACTCTTCCCAGGACGGCAGTACAGTTGCCAAGGCCCCTGAGAGCCAGGCTCAGCAGCCTGGCCGCTGGCCCACAGAAACAGGAGAGCCCACAGCTGCGAGGGCCCCCTCCAGGCGTCTAAGCTCAGGGAGCAATGCCCCACTGTGGGGCATCAGCAGGCTGGCCTCCGTGCGTCGCCCACACAGCAGGGACAGCCTGCCTAACCCTGTAAAGTCCTGGTGGCTGGAGGGGGGCAGAGTGAGGGGCAATGCCGGGGTGGGGAGCCTGGGCTGTATCTCTGTGTCCTGAAGGCGCTGGGGAGCCGCGGAAGGCCGCTGAGCTGAGACCTTACCTGACTTCTAAGTGGAGGCTCACAGTCCACCCAGGAGACCAACCTCTGAGGCCAGGGACCCCACCCCACCCCCGCCCAGGGCTGGGGGCGGGGACCCCCTCCCCCACCAGCGGAGCTCCCAGCCGCTGCACCTCAAACATGGCGTTGATGTCGGAGTACCGGGCCTTCATCAGCTCCCCCCAGGAGGTGAGGTTGCAGTAGGTCAGGAGGCCCCCGGGCTTCAACAAGCGAAAGGCATGGTCCTGGGCAGGGGACAGTGGTCAGCAGGGAGGTCGGGGGTGTGGACAGAAGCCACTTCCCTGGGGGCCTCCCACCTCCTGGCCGGTCAGACAAACAGGGAGAAGGTGTGAAAGGCCCCACCCGCACTCGCCCCTGGGGTCACTGTCCCCACGCAGGCCCTACCCTGATGAACTTGAACTGGTGTGTGTGCCAGGTCTCCTCAGAGAGCGGGTAGGTGTCATACAGGATTCCTACGCAGGCAGTGGGGGGGCCAGAGCTCAGGGCTGGGCAGTGGCCCCGGCAGGGGTGTGTACACAGAGGGCCTGGCCGTGCCCCGAGCTCTCGGCCCGCCGCCACCCCCGGGGACCTTGTCTCCAGCTGTTCTTCCGGCATCCGCCACGCACCCCCCCAGGCGACACTGCCATGCGTGTTCCTGACAAGGCCCGTCCTCGAGCCACGGAGCGGGGCTGGGGGTGGAAATTCGGGCAGCACCCCCCAGACCCCTCCCCCCTTACCATCAAAGTGGCCATCTGGCAGGGCAGGTGCCACGTCCTCCCACAGGCCTTTCAAGGGAACCACCTGAGGCCGGGGAGACAAAAAGAGAAGATTGAGGGTCTCTGGTGTCCGGCCTCTCCCCACCTGCCGTAAGGGAGAGGGCATTGGAGTTCCCAGGGGAGAATGCCACTTCCTCCGTCCGCCACAGGGACCCAGGCCCCCACGCCCTCCGGGGCAGGCAGGCGTGGGCACCTTGTGTGGCTGCCGCTGGGCCCAGTCCAGGAGCCGCTGGAAGACGCCGTCATTGCACTCGATGATCCAGTGCTCCTCAATGGGGGCCTCCTGCACCTTGGAAGCTGCGATGGCCATGCCGAAGCCCACCTCCAGCACTCGGCCCCCTGGTCACACAAAGAGCCCCTTATCACTTGCCAGGTGGGGGATGGGCAGCTGCCTGGAGGAGGGGGCACAAGGCCAGGAGGGCACAAGTGGGCCGGAGGTTTGGAACACAGTAACTGAGCAGGAATGGTGTGGGCTCTGGCCAGGGGCCAGGGAGGTGTGGGCAGCCGAGTTTAGGCATGGCCCGGGGGGTGGGGGGGGATGAGGGGGTCAGACCCTGGACTTTGAGCCCCACTGGCCCTTATCTCTCCAGTTGGTTACTTTTCTCTACCTCCTACCCTTGTTTGCTACGATAAGGGGGTGCGGGGTTTGAGGCCTCAGACCTGCAACAACTGGGGAGGAGATGGGTCCCCACTGGCCCAAAGACGGGCCAGGGGAACACCCCCAACTACGCAGGGACGCTGGGTATGCTCATTTGCCAGGCAGAAGCACAGGTGCCAGAGGACCCATGCCCTGCCCCTGGGGACTCCTCAGACCAACACCCGGGCACAGGGCCACCCCTGCAGCTGCTTCCCAGCCTCCGCTTCCCCCCCCCCCACCAGCTATTCTTAGCACTGGCGGGGCTTCTGGGGACTCCGGGCGGAACATTCCCCCCCGGGTGCCTGGGCAGTGCCCCCGCCCCGCCCGACCTCCACAGACCCCCCACCCCCACCTCACGCGGGGAACACGGCTGAGCTCCAGACGAGGAGGTCGTCGTCGTCGGTCCCATTCCCCCAACCCAGCCTGTCCCCGTCTGCGGGGTGGGGGCCCATCACCCCGGGATAGGAGGTTCCGGTACTTAGGAGGCGCCTGCTGTGTGCAAGCCCGTGCCTGCAGCACCCCCTTTACTTCCCCGTTACCCCCCGCTAGCCTCATTTCGCCGGCGGGAAAACGGGGGCACCGAGGGGCTCGAATGCACCTCAGCGGGAGAGCGGGTTGGACCCCGGATCTGGGCGGCCTTCGGCCTCAGTTTACCCCTGCGCGCCCGGCTACCTTTGGAGGTGGCGGCAGCCGCCAGCGCGTGCATGTAGGGGGTCTCCCAGCGCTCCATCACCGGCTTGCCGAGGATCTGCAGCTGCGTGTCCGCCGCGTCGTAGGCCGCGGGCGCCGCCTGCCACGCGGGGCTGCAGTTCTCGCCGGGGGCGAAGATGGGGGGCGCGGCGGGGGCGCTCATGCTTGCGGCGGGGCGCGCAGCCGGACTCGGCTCGGGACGGGCGGGCCTGGTCGCGGCGAGGCCTTGTGGGGCGGGGGCGGGGGCGGGGGCGGGGGCGGGGCCGGGGCCGCAGGCGGGGGCGGGGCCGGGCGCCGCCTGCGCGGTGCACCCACGGGCCTGCGGCGGCTACCGCGCGTAAGGCGCCCTGGGCCCGCTCCGTAAACAGGCGGCGCGCTCGCTAAATGTCGCGGAGTTGAAGCGATGGCCCGGAACGCCCTGCCTGAGACAGAAGGCCGCTCGGACCGGTTAGCCGTGGCTGTGTAACAGGTTACCCCGGACGTGGCCGCCGCCAGCGGCGCCCGTTTATCATCCCTTAGCTGGGTCCCCTGTCCCTCACCCTGTCGGAATGCTTCGGGCAGGGGCCAGCCAGTTGTGGGGGCGCCCCCGAGGCCGCCTCTAGGGAAGGGCCCGCTTCCGAGCCCGGGCACTGGCTGTGGGTGGCGGGAGGGCCTCAGTCCGCGGCTGCGTGGGGGTCCGAAGGCTGGCCACGTGCTTCATCTTCAGCAGGAGAATCTGCAACATCAGAGCTGTCCGGAGTCTAATCACAGAAGTGACCCCGTCCCCCGGGCCAGGCACAGGAGGGTAGGGATCACACAGGCCCTGGTAGAGCAGGAAGCCCGGGTCGCTGGGGAACTCTCAGAGGCTGCTGCCCAAACAGAGCCTGAGGGAAAGCAGGGAGGGGGCGGTCAGCTCAGAGCCTCCCTTGTGGTTTCATTGTCCCCTGAGATAAGGGACCTCCCGGTGGTCATCTCCATGCCACTTGGACTCCATCCCAAAAAGCAGCGACGGCACATTACGGTCTGGCTGCCAACTTAGCCAAACGGTTTCTGTTCCAGCTTCATCTTCCTCTCCTCTCAGATGGGCCACACTCATTCCTGCTCAGGTTGGCAAGGGAACGACACGAGGTCACTCCTTGTGTCCACTCCTTGTGAGAGACCCTAGTGTGTGCTGCGACTGTCTGCACTTCACAGCCTGGAGTCAGAGACGGTGAGTGATGCCGTGACAGGCCACAGCAAGACCAGGCAGAGAGGATGCAAGGCGGGATGTGTCCGATCCAGTCTTACCAGATTACGTAGACCCGTGTCACACATATACACACGTAACACGTACTCCTGATCACAAAGGGGACCCGTTCGGTCAGAGCGCTCTCATGTTACAAAGTTGCCATCAGCCTGCAGAGCCCATACCCCTGGTGTCCTTTTGGTACGGCTTAGGATGGTTTTTACATTTTTAAATAGCTGGGGGGACCCCAAAAGACTATTTTACAACACATGGAAGTTACATGACATTCACCTTTGTGCATGGGCAAATAAAGTTGTATCGGCATGGAGCCAGCTCCGCTCGTTACCGTCAGCACGCTGGTGTTTTTTTTCTGGCTGTAACGGTCCAGGTGAGTCATGGCCGTGAAACCTCACGCCCAACGAAACCAAAAATATTTACTACTTTGCTCTGTACAGAAAAAGTGTGCCAGCCCTGCTGTGCAGCAATGGGTCGTGGGAAGTGACGTTCATTCATTCATCAGACACGTGAACAGTACCTTAATTTGGGGGTTCCATCCCGACTCCCCTGGAGCTCAGAGCCTACTTCGGGGGGGAATGAACAAGAATAAGTGATAAGTGGGGCACCTGGCTGGCTGCATCTGTGGAGTGTGCGGCTCTAGGTTTCAGGGTCGTGAGTTCAAGCCCCACGCCGGGCGTGGCGCCTACTTAAAAAAAATTAAAAATTAAAAAAAATAAAACAGTAAGTGAATGAGATAATTACAAGCCACATGGCAACCATGACAGAACACAGTCCTGTGTTCCTGTCCAGTGCCTCTCTGCTTTACCTGCCAATATCCATGTTACCATATGTATGTGTATGTATGTAGTATACAAAATTGTAACTTTTGATTTTTTTTTTAAGATTTATTTGACAGACAGAGATTACAAGTAGGCAGAGACGTGGGGGGGTGGGGGAAGCGGGCTCCCTGCTGAGCAGAGAGCCTGATGTGGGGCTCGATCCCAGGACCCTGAGGTCATGACCTGAGCCGAAGGCAGAGGCTTAACCCAGTGAGACATCCAGGCGCCCCCCTCTTCTTATTTCAAAGATAAAACTTTTAAATTAAGAGGAATAGGGCAGATATCTGTACATTGTGTTCACAGCGGCCAGAAGGTGGAAACCACCCAAATGTCCATCAGTAGATGGAGGATAAACACATCTGTCCGTCCATCCACACACTGAAATATCATTCAGCCCAAGAAAGGATGGGACTCTGTCTCCTGCCACGACGCAGAAGGACCCGAGGACACGGGGCTCAGCGAGAGAAGCCAGACCCAGAAGGACCCATCCTGCAGGTCCCCACTCCCAGGAGGGCCCCAGAGGAGTCCTGTCCACACAGAGAGGAGAGGGTGGGAGCAGGGGATGGGGCAGGGGTGGGGAGTCCGTGCTTCATGGGGACAGAGTCTCCGTGTGGGGGGATGGACAGTTCTGGAGACAGAGGGCGGGGGTGTGAGTGTACTTTCCGCCGCTGAGTGGTGCACTTAGAGATGGTTACGATTTTGAATTTTATGTTTATTGTCCAACATTTGAAAAGAGACCAAAGCTATATCTTGTGGATTGGGTATGCATGTCTCCACGTTAGAAGTAAACTCAGAAGTGTCCACATACCTGTCATTGTCACAGCATTCGCTCTGGGGCAGGAGGTAGGAAATGAGTCAGGAAGGAGGGAAAAACAAACTGGCTAATTTATCTTTTTTAAAAGATATGGAGTAGGGGCGCCTGGGGGGCTCAGTTGGTTAAGCCACTGTCTTCCACTCAGGTCATGATCCTGGAGTCCTGGGATTGAGTCCCGCATCGGGCTCCCTGCTTGGCTGGGAGTCTGCTTCTCTCTCTGGCCTTCTCCCCATTCATGCTCTCTCACTCTCTCTCCCTCAAATAAATAAATGAAATTAAAAAAAAAAAGATACAGAGTAAACATACAAAGCCCTAATATGTTTGCCCCCGTGGCAGGTGCAGGACGCCGCTCCACCACCCGGCACCCCGCCTCCACTGTCAGCGTACCTTCTAAGTAGATTGTACGCCCATCGCATCGCAGGGCTTGAACTCATGACCCCGACATCAAGAATCGCATGATCTACTGACTGAGCTAGCCAGGCACCCCAGCATCCGTCTTTTCAAGAATATATTATTTTGAACAGTTTGTGTCTGGCTTCCATCACTTGCCCACATCCTGTGTATTTCACCCGGGCCCTCTGTGGTTTACTTGCGCAGATGCCCGTGGATGGACGTGTGGGTTCCGTCCCATTTCCGGCTCCTCTAATAGCTGTGAGCATCCTGGGACATCTCTGTGCTCAGTGGGGCCAGCATTTGGGGGATGCATTCCTGGAAGTGGGGCTGAGCTCCCTCCTGCTTGCTCCCCCCATCGGGGACACGCAGCTAAGCCTGGCCCAGCGCTTTCTTCTCCGCACGCCTGGGGCATGTCCTTCCAGCGCCACGGGCCCCCGTGGGGCACCAGTGCCTGCCACCCGTCCGGACTCCTCCGACCTGCAGAGCGCTGGAGCCGTGCACAAGGGCGGTTCCCGGGGCGCGGACTGACCGCATGCCCGCCGCGACCCGCCCCGGACCCATTGCTGCCTGCCCGCCCTGCGGAGGGGCCTAAGGAGGTCCTGCGCCCCGGCGACCGCTCTAAGTGACACGAGGCCCGCGTGCTCGGCCAACTCTAAGTGCCCAGCGACTCGCGCCGCCCGCCTGGGACCCGGCCCCTCCGCCGCTTCAGGCCGACCCTGAGGAGTACATGCACTTGCCGCCGGCGGAGAGCGACGCAGCCGCGCGGCGCCGCCAGACTGCAGGGCACCGGTCCCGGCAGGCTGCTCCGGGCTGCGGGGCCGTCTGCAGCTGGGCCCCCAGCCCCGCATCTCGGGGGACGAGGGCACGCGGCGGGGACGCCTCTCCGGCCGCCGCCGCCCTCTCGTCCCGTCAGACGGGCTCCGCGGTCGTGGCCGAGGCGCCGACCGGGAAAGGGGTACCGCCGCCTCGCGTGACCCCGCAGTGGGCGTGGCCTCTGCCCGCCGTTGACCCCACGTGCCACTTCCGACCGGAGCGAAAACAAGGAAGCCCAGCCGCGCCTGCGCCCCGCGGTGCCTGGCTCGGAGGGCGCGCGCGCGCACGCATGCACGCACGCCGTTCGGCGGCGCGCTCCCCTCCCCCGGGAGGGGCCGGCGCGCGGGACTCCACTTCCCAGCGTGCTCCGCGCGACGCCGTTCGCCGCGCAGGTGCCCGGCCGCCGAGCGGCGGCACTGCACGTAGGCGCGCACGCAGGCACGCACTCCGGCGGGCGCACCCCTGGCCCCGCCCCCGGAGGCCCCGTGCGGGAGCGCGCCCGGGCGTGCGCAGGGCGGCGGCGCGGGCGCGGGGGCGCGCGGTGACCGTTGGCGCTGAGGGGAGGAGGCAGCGCGGCCGCCGCCGTTGCGCAGATCCGGGCCGCGGCTGTGGGGAGGGCGCCGGGGCCGGTGACCTTCCGGAGGCGGGAGCGAGCCAGGGGGCCCGGGACGCCGAGCGCCGCCGCCATGAACAACTCGGGCGCCGACGAGATCGGGTGAGGACGCGCTGGCCTGCGCCGCCGCCGCCCAGACGCCGCCCCGGCCCCCGTCAAGGTCACGCCGGAGGGCCGCGCTGGGGCCGACGGCCTGGGGGGCCGGGGACCGCCGCCGGGACTGCGGGGGCCGGGGGGCGGCGAGCGGGAGGGAGCCCGGGAGTCCGGCGTCCCGCCGCTTCCTGGCCGGGGCGGCTCTGGGAGGGCCGCGGGGGGGGGGCACCCGGCCCGGGCGCCGGACTATGGGGGGGACGGTCAGGGCGTCCCCGTCGCCGCCGCACCCGGCTCCCCCGTCGGGGCGGCGGGGAGCCTGGCGTCCCGGGCCGTGTTGTCCGCCCCCGCGCCGGGTTTGTGGCGGGGGAACCTCGAGCGGAGCCTGGGAGGGTCCGGGGGGACCGCCGCCGCCTCCTGCGTGAGGAGGACCGGGAAAGGGAGCGGGGGGGGTGCTCTGGGACGCCGTG